ATACAGTGGGTTTATTGGCAAGTACTCAAGGATCAACATCTTGGAGAAGTGAAGAAAGAAGGACTGGGCAGAGGGGAAAGCTGAACTTTGATGCAGTCTCAAGAGAAGTCTCAGCTGAGCCTATCGAGAGTTTTGAAAATGGGTTGTCCCTTCATAGCTGTCCCAAGTAGGGGTTGGGGGTTCAGGCCTTTATACTCACAAGTTGATCAGTTATTGGATGTGGAATGCCCCAGGAAGGGGGCATAATCTTGTGTGAGGCAGCTCCCTTAGCCAAGGGCAATTCCCAGCAAAGGAGTCATCAGAGAGCAATCAGCCTTCAAACCCCCTGGCACCTAGAAGAATGAGTACCTAGATTCTGAAAGGGTATCTGGGTGACTTACCACAGTGTCCACTACACTTCTCAAAACTAAATGGATAAATTCCTGTCTTCTTAGCACAACACACAAGGCCCATCATGATCTTGTGCCTGCTCGCCTTCAGTCTTGACATCCCTTCCACTCCCTGCCCCGGCCCCACATGTCTGCTGGCAAACTCCCACTAATTCTTTAAATTATAGCTAAGTGTGCCTACTCTGAGATGCCTCCCCAACTACCCTTGCAGACTAAATGATCCTTTCTCTATACAGTAGCCCAGCATAGTGATTAGGAGTGTGGCCTCTGGAGCCAGGGTTTGAATACCAGCTCTGCCACTTGCTGTATAACCTAATGCAAGTTACTTAACCTCTCTGTATCTTAGTTTCCTCAGCTATAAAATGGGATAACAATAATACTCCTAGATCATAGGGTTGTTAAACGGATTAAATAAGTTCATACATGTAACATTAGAACAATGTCTTGCAGGAGTAAACAGATGCTGTTATTATTATTATTGTTGTTATTGAAGGTGCTCAGTATGCATTTGTTGAAGGCATGAAGGATGGAAGAAGGGAACTGGGAGAGACAAAGTGCAGAGTATGTTCAGGGAATGTTGAGTAATCCAGTCTGTCACAAAGGGAGTAGTAGCCTCTGTGAGCCCATGTTGAGAAGAGTTTTTAATGTCACGGTAAAACATGTGCATCTTATTTGGTAAGCAGTAAGAAACAATGACTGAGTTTGTCAACAGATGGGAGAAAAAATCAAAGAGAGGGACAGACTGAGCCAAGATGGGAAGCCTATATGTGGTGAAGTGACAGTTACAGGTGAGGGTGGTAGATAAAAGTGCTGGGTGGTGGTAGAAGAAATGGAACACCAGGAGGGGAGGATGGGGACGGGTAGGGGAAAATAGGTTTAGAGGAAAGTAATATGAACATATGGCGGATGGAGTGGGGGAGTCAGGTGAGGTTGATGGGAACTGATGAGGAGTGGTAGAGACATGCTGGAAGTAGGAAAGATAAAGGGTGATGAAGACAGGTGTGGTTGACGGGAACAGGTAAGGAATGATGGGGCCCTGATGGGGGATGGGGTCAAGTGAATGGCAGGGACCAATGAGGACAACCTGAGAGCTGCGGCTGGACCATCTAAGTGGGAGTTCTAGGGCTGGACGAGTTGAGAGAGAGGCAAGGTAGAATGTGATGTCAGAGAAGGGGCAGTGATGTAAGAGCTGGGGCGGTGGGGCGGTGATGTCAGGGCTGGTGCTGATGCTGGCGGCGCAGTGCATTGTGGGCAGCTCCCCGCTCTGCTGCTGCCGCCGCCGCCGTCGCCGGAGGAGGATCGGCGCCGGACCGGGCCGGGCCGGGATGGTCCCGGTCGGGAGGCCGCCGCCACC